AAATTCTACTGGGTGAATGGCAGCTGCTGGTGTTCGGAAGCTTTGAAAGCTTTGAAATAAAGGTATTTTGATTTTTTTTTTTTTTAAATAACCCAAAAAGTTAGCTTTATAATTGCTTTTCTGACCTCTGCCAGTGTCTTTGATCCTGCCGAACTGACTTGGACAGCACTGTGTCTGGGTTCTTCTTGTTGTATTAGTACAGTTTATCTAAGTACCCCTCAAAACAGGAAGTTGATATGATCTGTGTCTGCCCATTAGCTACAGTAAGCGGTATAAAAAAAACAAAACTCCTGCAACAGTTTAAACCAGGGACGGGCAATTTGTTTTGGGCAGAGGGCTGCTTACAGAGTTTTGGCAAGTCATGGAGGGCCGCATGGCAGGCAGCCCAGGGCAGATAAATATTTATTTTTTACATTTTTAGGGGTCCTGCAGGCCAGACGGAATGGCCTGGCTGGCTGCATCCAGCCCGTGGGCTGCATTTTTGCCCACCCCTGATTTAAACAGAGCATGAGGTCAGGCAAGCAAAATTTAGATATTTGCAACTTAGATGTATTTACCAGATTCATCCATTTTTAGAGGAAAACGTCCACTGAACATAGATGCTAGCATTGAGTCCTTAAAGCGACACAGAGACTCACGCCGGGCCACGAACACATGACCTCCAACGTTAAGTCGAAGAATATCCAGCGCCTCTTCAGGGTTGCCGTCTTCCATTGCACTCGCAAATGCGATGTGAACAGGGCTGTGCTCTACAACGATCTGTAAAACATTTGTAAAAATAAGTAAGCAATCAAATGCAGAAAACACAGAATCACATTTTATACAATTGAAGTGAATAGACTCGACCCCATGACTCAAATTTTGTATTGTAGTAACATAGCTAATCAGAACTATATAGTATGTTTATCTGTCAGCCTTAAAAACTGAAGAGGTTGCGCACAAAAGGAATGGGTGCATCCTGGCACCCGTGTTAATAAACGGGATATTTTATTTGCTCTTAAAAAAAACCCCAAACCAACACCCAGGCAGCGAGTGCTCCCCTCAGGCAGGGGCGCAGGACAGGGCGGGCTCCAAGATTCAAGCTCTCGCTGCTGCTCTTGGCAGTGGCAGCCCAGGCCCCGGGGCAGGCAAGGGGCGGCCCTGGCCTTGCCCTTCTCAACATCCATTTGGGCGCCGGGGCCGGGGCCGCTGCTGGGGCTGAAGGCGGGCGCGGGGCTCGGGTAGGAAGCAGCATCCCCGGCGTGCGGCGGGCCCGGCCGAGGGGCCCCCTGCGGCCCGGCACAAGCGCTCCAGT